CCACTGGCATGGAGAACCATTGCCACAGAGAACCATTGCCCCGGAGAACCATGGCCATGGAGAACCACTGGCATGGAGAACCATTGCCACAGAGAGCCATTGCCACAGAGAACCATTGCCCCGGAGAACCATGGCCATGGAGAATCATTGGCATGGAGAACCATTGCCATGGAGAACCATTGCCCCGGAGAACCATGGCCATGGAGAACCACTGGCATTGAGAACCATTGGCTTGGAGAACCATTGCAACTTTTAGAAATGCCTTTGGTCCAACAGACCTGAAATCAATAATTAGGGGGTTGACAGGACTCTAGAGGAACTGACTGCATCCTGAGGAGGTAACTCATCATTTGATTCAGCCGTGTTGGACCATGGATTCTTCTAAAAGTTGCAGGATACCTGCCCCCAGGAACCGTTGATCCAGAGGATCAACGCTCCCACAGCCTGGGCAGAAGAGCAGTCCATCACAGGCTCAGAAAGGTCACATGAGGAGAACCCTGCTTAGGTTCATCCTAACACAGCAGCCATTATTCTAACATGGATGGGACATGCTCCATGGTTCTAATGCAGAAAGGAGGACTGGCATCTCTAGGTCCCTCTCTACCTCAGGCTGAGGCTTGATGGAGACACCTGATGAAGGCCTCCTCTGAGGCTAACTACTGAGCTCTGGATTTAGCTGATGGTCTTCAGCCATCATCGATGGACAGCCTTCATCCAGACATCTGAGAAAGCTTCCTTAGTGAGGTCACCAGGCTGCGGCTTAGAGCTAAGAAAAGGAGCTCCATTATCCGGGGGCAGATGAGAGATGTTACACTGGAAGGAGACCCCGAGGGAGACCTGGAACTCTTTAGAATAACAATGCTATAAGATCCGTCAGAAGGACCTGGAGAGACTGGCGTCTACTAGACCATGAAGGTTGTACATCCAGGAATAGAGCTTAGAGTGGGAGGTCAGAGCATGGTTATAAAGATGACCTCCTGATGATGGAAATACCAAGTGTGAGCAGACTCACTGGTGACTCCCAGGACCAGGATGAGGACAAAGACCACAGCAGCCATTACAGAAGGAAACAACCACCATTTGATCCTGAAGATACCGGCGACTGAGGCAGGAGGACTCTCTGAGACACAGAAGGACAGACGGATGGACGGACAGGTCATTAACAGCAGAAACAGATCAGTGTCTCTGTCCCCTGATCACCTCCCTCAGACCTGAGAACCAGAGGGTGCAGCGGTCCGGGTCCTTCTCCTGGAAGTCGTTGAACATGTTGGAGATGTTCCAGGCTGATCTTCAGGGCTATAAGGTCGATACTCCAGCTGCTTTAGCAGGGAATAACAGGAGGTTAGAAGTTCTGCAGAAGAACTGGACCTCCTGTCCTCCTCACTGACCCTGAAGAACGTTGATCCAAAGATCTCACCTGTCTGAACACCTGCAGAGATGAAGCTGCTCCTCACTGAGCTGCTAACTGTTTACTGCTGAACTTCTCCCTCTGCTCTTCCTCTTCAACCGCCCATCCAACCGTCTCAAAGCGTCCACTCATCACTTTAATGTTTCATCATCTTCATCGGCTCACCCTATGCAACCTTTCTTAAGTTTCTAATTTCACTGAATCTCTGGAACTTCTCCTTTCTGCAGAACAGTTTTCTCAAAAAGGAAGTGATTCTCAGTCCAGTTCCCTAAAGGAACCAAACCAAACCTCCGCAGGAAATACTGAGACCCACACATGGTCCGTTAGCGCTCTGCTAGCTCTGTTCTACACTGATTTATGAAGATACTGGAGAACAGAACCAGGAACCAGAACATCGACCCGACCCGAGCAATTATGAGCCTGAAGCTTCAGGAGAGGAACGCTTTGATTAGAGTCTAAATCAGAAATGAGTCCTTTGCTTGGATGAGAAAAGAAACATATTTATTTGACCCACAATAAAAACACTTTCCTTGAATTCACCAACAAAACTGATGGGATGGAAAGAAGAGCAATTCCGACTATGGACTTTAAACAGTTTCCAATCATCCTTTACTTCATCGTCTCTGAAAGAAAACCAGCTGAAGCTGTTTGAGTCAGTCTGCTGGATCCTCAGGTTCATCCTGGGGAACTTATCTGGTCCAGATCTGGATCTCGTACCCAGGATGGCGTCATGGCGATGACATCATCCCTCTGTGAGGTCATCGTTGAAGTAGAGCAGGATGGAGGGGGTGAAGATGTCCCGGTCCAGCCTCAGCCGGTCCAGCTCCGGGTCTTCGTCCACCACGCCGTTCTGGCTCAGCGTCTTGGTCATGTCCAGAACTTCTCCCAGGTGCTTCCAGGTGTAGCTGTGGGCATGGCTGTTGTAGCGCCGGTAACGGTGCAGGATCTCCTCCAGAGTCTCCTCAGAGCACACCTGAGGAACCGTAGGGTTCTGTGAGGCAGGGACGTCTCAGAGTCCTCAGACTTCATTACCCAGAGTGCACCTGGAGGAAGCTCTCACCTCCAGCAGCTGCTCCTGGGACGTCAGCGTGTTGACGATCCGGATCCACCTGACCTTGTCCGACAGCAGCCCCACCTGGTACCGGCTGTCCTTCCACCACGGAGTCCCGAAGTCGGTGGCCCAGTCGGAGCAGGGCCCGCGGGGGTGTGTGTGGACAAATCGCCCCCTGGGAGTGTAGTAGCGCTCACAGCAGGTCAGAGGGTCCACGAACCGCCGGATCTGAGGGAACCATAAACCGTCAGCCCGTTTGCAGCAGCCAGGGCTAAC